CTTGAAAATGCATTAGCTTGAAATACGCTTCTTGTTTTATATTCTTGAATAATGTAAGATTAACAAAGCTGATTTTTTTTTCCTCCATTTTAATTTTTCCCACACTTTTTCTTCTTCAATTGTGATTAGTTTCTGGTTTTGATCAGGCAGGAAATGGAGCATGAAGAAGCCCCAAACAGAGAGCTATAGGCTGCCTTGCAAACGGGAGTGAAATGTGGATTGCATTAGGTTAGGGGCTCAGTGTTCACCTCCGCATAGCACCAGCCTGGGTGAGCGGTAGGAAAGCTGCAGAAATCGGTGTGGCAGGTGGCGAAGACCCCCGCACCGCAGGGGAATATAGGAGGATATTTTTTCTGCTGCCATTAATCACAGCTTCAGACTGTGGCACCGGTACCCAAAGCCCATTGGTAGATGTGACGGGGTTTTTTTTCCCCTGGATCTAAGGCACCGTGCATCGGCCCACCGGCTGCCTCTGAGCACAGCAAAGCCTTCAAGCAGGGGCCGCGCGGAGGTGACGCAGGGCCACGGGGTGGTGTGACGTGTTTTGAGGTCAGGGAGGGATGGGGACCAAATGACGCGACGTTTGGGATCTGTGGCAGCTGTAGCAACTTCCTTGCCAGGTGCCCCCGGCACTGCGCTGCTCCTTTGGCTTTTGCAAGTACATCTCCAGCTCCTCTTGCACAATATGAAGAAAAATAAGCTCTATTTTGAAAATGCACTTTTTGCTCCTAAAATTCCAGCTGTGTCTGCCTGCTTTTTGCTGGCGATGCTCTGCGGTTGCACGTGATGCCCCAGGCCCTGAACGCGGTTGATGCCTTGCAACGTGCCCTGGCGTCTCGGGTCTCACGGGGGGGGAGAGGGAACAGAGTCACGCTGGGGAAAAAGTGGGACAAGGGTGGTTTTCACATGCCCTGGAAGTACTGCCGTGCCAGCAGCACGGGTGAGGTGGTCCCATAACGGGAGGATGCGGATGGCATTAAGTGTACTGAACTTGAAAAGTACTGAATTGTTCTGATTTTGGTTCCTGCTATGTGCTGTTTTATCAGATTATACTTTTTCCTTGTAAATAAGTGACTTTTTTTTCTTTGTTTTTCTTTTGTTTTCCAGGACCTGCAGTAAGTATCGTGGATTTTACTGTTGGATCAACAAAGTTAAGGCTTCCCCTTCCCCCTTCCCCTGCCTTGTGGTGTCATTGCAAAAGCACAGCATTTTTTGGTAGAGGTGTGTCTGGAAGGAAAATTGGTACCAGATGCTGCTGTATTTTTTTTTCATGATTGTAGACAAATAGAGAGGGGAAAAAGGTTTTAAAATGTTTAACTTGCTGCCCCGAGGGACTTCCAGTAATTTTAAACCCAGAAAATATTCAGTAAAAAAGAGTTTTCCCTTTAAAGATTTCTTTAGTCCGCTTCCATTTAGCAGAAAGAGTGCTGTACTAATATTTTAACATTAACATAGTGGGTTTTTTAGTTCTAAAACTCTGTCTTGCTTTTCTTATCTGTTGTGTTTCCATCATTTAATACAGGTTTGGTAGCCTCACAAGGGGGGCTAGAGGGAAAGCCGTAGCTTGCTTTGCTTCTCTCTTTGAAGTCTTGGGGAGAATAACGAGCATTCCTACCAATGCAACCAGAAAATTTATGGGGAATTTGTTGTTTGAAGGGGTAATAGTTGAAAATGTTGTCAACTCCTTCCAAATGTTCAGACGTGCCTTTTGCTGTGCCACCACCACGTCCAAATCTGATGTTCTCCCGCTGGTTTTGGAGTGAGAAAACAGCGTTTCATTTGTGCCCTCCAAGTTGCTGAGGGATTGTTAAAAAAGAAATTAGGGGCATTAGGTGCTTCTGGTTTTCTACCTTCCTTCCCCCAAAAGAGGAGGAGGAGGAGGAGGAGAGGCACGGGCTGTTTGCAGCCACGTGTTTCCTTCTCCATCGTTGCACTAACAGAGATGTTTCTTCACGTTGTTCTCTTCCTATAGAGCCTCACGGGGTTGAAAAGGGATCATTTCAGGAGAAAGAAATTTGCTAACTATTCTTGGGCTAATGCATTTCCAGTTCTGTAAATCTGTTGAAAAGCCAAAGGGTGACGAGGAAACGCACGTGGAGCGTGGGGGCTGTCACAGCGCCATGGCTTTGGTTCTCCTGGGATCGACAGCGCTGCCTGTGGGGTTTTTAGTTAATGGCTTTTACCTTTTGAATGTTTGCTTCTATTTCAAGTTCATCTTTTGATGTAAACACTTCAGAGGGGTTTGAGCAAAATTATTATTTGGCTAAGTTTTGAACGAGCAAATCGGGAAAACTTAACAGCTTTGCCTTAACCGTTCTTAGAGGAAATCTGAATGCTTTTGCTCTAAAAGTTGTGCCCAGTATTAGCAATAAATCCAAGACTCTGGTTCAAGAAATGCAAACGAATGGATTTTTCTTGTTAGTTTGTGTTCAGAAATGTAGTCTGTCAATAAATTCATTTTCCTGTAAATATTCGGTAATTAAAAACTGCAGCGTAGCCTCTCCAACCCACACAATAGAAGTGACTCCGTGGGGTTTTGAGATATTAGTGACTAGGGCATTGAGCACCGTTGGGAGGTGAATTCCCACGTGCCTGGCGCAGAGCTCGACGCCGCGCCCCGGGGGCAGCACGGCTGTTCGCCTGCTTCACCAAGCCCTGCATCACGGTCGTCATCGGGCAAGATCCGGAGGTCGTGAAGAGCAGCCGCTGAGGCTGAGCACAGGCATGTGCGGCTGGGGAGCCCTTTGGGGTGCTAGAGCCAGTCCCCCCACAGGGTTTCTGCCTGGTGATTCCCCCCCTGCAATTCATGCAATTTGGCCTAATTATTTAAAAAAAAAAAAAAAAAAAAAATTCTTGCTCAATGGCAGGTTACAAATGAAGAGGACATTGCCTATTTAAAAGTCCACATATACATCTTTTAAGGGATGTTTTCCTCTTCATTAAAGTACTTTGGCTTATTTAAAATGGATTTATTTAACCGTTTCGGCTCTGCTCCTGCTCCGAGGCTGTTATCAGCCCACACGCAGCCGGCTGGGTTACGCTTCCTCACGTGTGCTGTCTGTTCACTTTTGTTGTATGCGATTCGACATCGGCAACATATGGTGCTCTATTAATTTTTCTTTGTCTCTAGTTCGTTCCATTTCCTGGTTCCCACGGCACTATTGAATTGCAGACGGAGCACAGGGGAGATTTAACACAAACAAGACTTGGCTGGGTGTTGGGTTTTTTTTTTCCTTCCTCTCCCCTTGCCCTTCTTTAAAAGACAACTCCTGATCTAGTTCATCTTTAAAAAAAAAACAACCCTGCATTTTTAGCATAAGCAGCATTTGCCAGAGAATTCTTTAGACACAATATGTAAGAAAAGTCCTAGAACCCACAGAACCACAATATTATTTTATTTCAACAGTACTGTATTTAACTCTATTAGTTTCTTCTGTTTCTTGATTTTGGCCATAAGGAATCGATTATATCTTACATGTACAGCATCGCACTCTGCTAAAACTGTATCCTCAATTCTGTTGTTCCCTAGTAGCAGTTGTTCCGGTATTTTATTTTTTGGCTGTCATAAGCTAGTTGTGTATATGAAATTATTAGAATTTGTGGTACAGGATTTGTGGCTGTTGGATGATTGATCGTCCTGTCTGTGAGTAAGGGGTATTCTGCTCAGATGTGCTATAAAACCTCTGTTTCGGAGGGTATTAAAATCACATGCTGGGTAGGAAATTTCTACAATTGAAGGATAGACTTACCACAGACTGTAATTAAAAATTTACAGTCCCAGATATTAACAAACACTTTATGTATTAGCAAGCTGGCTGGGGAACTCACCAGCAAGCGAGGGCTGGGAGTTACAAGTGTTTCCTATTTATCTGTGTGTGCTCCAGTGCCATACGTCTCCATAAAAATCTCACTGTACATTTTATCCCAAGACTGTAATTTGTTCAATAGGTGGTTGTTGAAGTCAATGTTGTTTCTGGATGAATCAATAGTGCTGCAGGAGGCATTAAAAGCTGCAGGGGCACTTAGCAAGAAGGGAGAACCCCTGTTTGTGGTATGGAGGGGGCTGCCAGAACTATTTCATGCCATAAGAAATGTACGGATCTGACTGTATATCCGCAGCATGCTGACATAACCTATGTTTATGGTAGCAGATGACATTGCTGTACCAGATACACGCTTTACTGCCTACTTGTGTACCAGCTAATACTTAACAGCTCCTTCCCGGGGAATCTGCCTTATGTCTGGATTGCAGCAGGCTCCTCTGCTGTAGCTCACGGCATGTTTAACGGCAGCTCGAGCTGTAAACGCCTTTGGGAACCCCCCCAAGAAGAGCAGAAAAGGTGAAATATGCTGAATGGGTTGTGTTTTATTCCACTGGTCTTGCAGGTGTTATTAGGGACGAAGTAAGGTCTTTCCCCATAGCATCAACTTTTCCTTCCACTTCATTGCAAACCAAAGCAGAGCTTAGAGGCGGACTGGGAGAGCTGCATCCCTGCAAGGAAATTAATGGACCTAAGAGGGGGAAACCTTCACCGTATCAAGTGCTGGAATAGGAGCTTGAAGCTCAGCAATTGCTCCTGGGCAGACAGGCTGTCCCGGCTGCTGCCGAGCCTCCCCGGCCTCTCCCCGGCGCCTGGGTGTTCCCGTACCTCTTGGTACCTGCATCCCGGGGCGGGCTTACGGCCGGGATCTAGTGTGTATCCTGCACGTCCGTGACTTCGGGGGTGGCAGGGACTGAGCACAGACAGCAGGGATGGGTGTGAGTTGGCAAAAGCCTCGGTAAGTAGCTAAAGGGAAGCATGAGATCAAAATCTGGGGAAAATATGCCATAGGTGTGACCTTTCTGATAGGAAAATTGTCCCGAGAGGTTTCTCTGGAGACAATTTAGTCCCGGGGCTGGCTGGGCAGACGATGGCCCTGTGTCCTGCCTGCTGCTATGTGTTGTCACACTGCTACAGGTGCATTGACTGACTTTTATCTCACTTGTTCCCCCACCACAGGGGCAGTCAGGACGCGATGGTTACCCGGTAACTCTGCTATTCCTTTTATTTGTATTCTCTTCTTTATTCTCTTCTAATCTGCGTAGTCCTCTCCGTCTTTTCCGTGACACTTGATTTTCTTGGCCTGTCTTGGTCTCTGTTTTTTTTCCTTCTTCCCTCCCTCTTTATCAGTCACAGCTTTTGAGGGATTTAGCCTGAAACTCAGGGGCCTGTGCAGTATTCTCCATTAATGTTTATAGGGGTGAAATACTTGAGCCCTTTCATGGTATTATTCACACTCTTGCCTAAGAATTCACTGGACTGCAAAGTCAGTGAAGGCTTTGGTGTTTGTCCCTCTCACAGCTGTAGGTGGCCAGATTTGGGGACATCGGTGAAAGAGCTTCGGGTGTTGAGATAGGTCCTCATTCACCCATCTCCAGAAAATTTTCCCTGGGAGCAGAGGTGTCCTGCCAAGCCTGTTGGCAAGGAGAGATTTTGCAGAGGCTCTGAAGGGTAATTTGGGATGCGCTGCCCTTCCCATGCCCGTGGGCACCACTGAAATGTCTTTGTGTTAGAGGGAGGCGTTTTCTGGGGGAGAAAAAAAGCTGGTAACTTGGGGCTGTTAAAGGCTCTGAGACACTTTCTGCAGGAGGAGGGAGGCCTTGTTCTGGCCAGATCCCAAACTTCAGCCTGCCGGCTGGCTCCCTTAATCCACATTAATGCACGTGGGTAGCCGCGGTACTCCGGCTCTGAGGGGCTCGATGGCTCATCAGGGAGCGACTCCCGTGCATGCTCTCAGTGTAATGGGCTGGTAAAAATCACTGTGTAGATCCTCCGTGTTCGCAGCACGTTTCCAGCTCTGCTCCTGCTTTTTGAATGGGTGCAGTGGGTCCTGCACTGCCTGGTGCTCTGGAAGGCGCTTCTTGGCTATTTGTCCTGCTGTTCCGTTTATAAGGTAAAGAAAAGTAGTTAGCCTTCTCCTTGCTGTGGTTGATGCCCCCCCCCCCCCCCCCTTTTTTTTTTTCTCTCCTTCCTTTTTTTTTTCCCCAAAGGAGCGTGTTAGGAAAACTTACTCCTTGTCTCTGCCACCTCGTGCCCTGGCCCGGTTCCCCCTGAACTCCCGTAAACCACGGAAACATCTATTGAGTTTTCTGTGCGTGATGGACTGGGAGCGCGAGGGAGGAGGATTGGAAGGGAAACCACGGAGCTGGTTTCGGTTTTCATTCCCCCTGCACCCCTGTGAGCATCCCTGGGGAAGGCAGCAGCCTTTCCCCAGCGGCCGCGGCCCCGGCCCCGGAAGGGGAGAGGCGTGAGACGGGGTTAATTTTGCAGAACAAGCCTGTGCTGCCGTTGCACCCGTCAACCCGAAAGCGCTCGGGGCTCCGCCGGTTGGTTTTGAGTAAATTAAGCTTAGTACGAGGGAACGGCGGGGGAAGCCTGCGAGCGAGCGGGGCTGCCCGGTTCCAGGGGAAGGGCGGCCGGGGCGGGCGGCGGGC